TCCAGTCAGTCTTGACTTCTCATGATATGTCCGAAGTACAATAGCTTCAGTTAAGTTATTTTAATTTCCAGTAAGAGTTCAGACTTGATCTTGAGCTGGCCCAAAGCAGGGAGGCAATTTAGCAGGCATAACTTCTGCTTCCAGGCAGTTCATCTATGTAACTCTTTGTCACAAGGGCCCAATCCTGTACTGGTTCTATGAATGTTGACCGTTTGGTTGTCTGACAGGAGCAAAAGCAGTGGCTGTGTGGCTTAATACAGCATTCCTGAATCCAGAGAAACAAGGGAATCAAATTTTTGAATATGACTGTGTCTTAAATTTTGCATACCCACCCCAGCCAAGTCCTGGATTAGTGTAAATTGACAGGAAGAACACACATTTTCCAGTCCAAATCATCACCTGTTGCCCAGGTGAAACTAGCAAGAAAAGTTGTGTGTGCTTCAGAGAGCAGATTGATTTTGGTTCTTGGAATATGAACAAGACAGGTGATGATTTGGGCTGGAAAATGTGTGTTCTTCCTGTCAATTTACACTAATCCAGGACTTGGCTGGGGTGGGTATGCAAAATTTAAGACACAGTCATATTCGGAATTGGATTCCCTTGTCTCTCTCTGGATTTCACCAGGTGAAACTATGTAAATATGCAGAGTTGATGCTAAAGATTACTTCCTCTTCTTTCTAAAAAAAACCAGTCATGTGCTTTTCAGCAACATTTTGGGAACAACTTTTTAAAGGGTCTTTTTCACTTTGGTGACAACTTGGCTGTTAAAAAAAAATCACACATCTTGATAAAGTACTTGCTTGTAATGGAAATAACGGAACAGCTGAAGTCTGAAATGCATGCTGGAGAATGAAGCGAGACAGCCCATGAGCTGAAAGGCCACCCAGTTTATCTAAATGAGCCAATTCTGATAAAGCATTTCAGAGTATTTCTGCAGTACCTTCAGTATCCAGAGAGGCCCAACAAAGCTCAGGTTTGGCAAGAACAGAAAATATACTTGGGGGGTGGGGAAGGGCGACCTTCCACTGAGTCAGACTGTGGATCTGTGCAGTAGCACCTACACTGACTGGGAGCAACTTTTCAGCATTTCAGGCAAGAGTCCTGTCGTGCCCTTCCTAGTGATACCAAGGACTGAACCCAGGAGGGTCTGCACGAAGAGCATATGCTCATTTCCAGGCACAATTCAAAGTGCAGATCCTAACCTGTAAAGCCCTATAGGTTAGAACCAGCACAACCAAGCTATCTCATGCACTAGGTCTCCCTCTAATGAGCCTGCTTGGGTGTCAAAATCATCAGGAGCCTTTCCTTCAGTCCCACCACCTTTACAGGTGCACATTTGGTGGGATCACAGGAGAGGGTCTTTTCCGTGGCTGCTCCCAGACCTTGGAACTCCCGCCCACAGGAAGTCAGGCTGGCCCCATCTTTGCTGTCCTTCCGCAAGCAGGCGAACACCTTTCTCTTCAGGCAGGCTTTCCCTCAGTGACTTGGCTGTCTGAGTGGAGTTTGTTAAATGGACTGCTTTGCTTTACTGCTTTCAGTGTTTTTGTCGTTGCTTTGGTATTTGTTTATCCTTTTTCATAATTGTATACAGTACTTTCTCCTTTTAGCTTTAAATATTCTCTTTTAATTATGTAAGCCACTATGGGTCCTTTTTAAGGAGAAAGGCAGAGTAAAAATATGTTAAATAAATAATAGCACTATGCTCACAAAGGGAAAAAAAAGCAGAAACACTGGAAATAATCTTATAGACTCTCTGTATGTTTATAATAATAATCTTAGAACTGCAGAGCTGGAATGGACCCTCTGGATCATCCAGTCCAGCCTGTCAAGGAGGCACAAGTGGGGAACTGGACTCCCAACCTCAGCAATGCAATCAACTTCCACAAGATGATGATATGCCAGAACACTCCTCATTAATTTGGATGCCAAATAACTATATCTGCAATTATTGCAATTTGCAGTACGTGGTAAACAACCACTATATGGAACAATGTGGAACATGGATAATTCTTTTAAGGGTGATTGGTTCCCTTCTGCTCTTCTTAGTATTGCTTCTCAGCTGCTGCACGTATACTATTTCCCAGCTGGCTGCTGCTGAAACAGCATTCTTAAATTAATTTTTAAAAGTAAGATTTGCTGCCATATGGATTAGACTACACACTGCTGTCCAAAACACAAGGGGGAAGAATTCAGGTCTTATATATATATATATACATCTATAGCTCAAATGCAGGCAAAAAGTTAATATTCAGTCCTATCCTTTAGCATGTAATGCACAATGTAAGTTTTTAATTGGACACGTTATAGGAAAAAGGATGATAGCAGTTTCTTACAGTGAAGTATTTAATTTTTAATTTTTTTGGAAGAATTATTTCCAGCTAGGCTTTACCTACCAAGTTGTCCTAATAACTCTCTGGTTCTAATGTATGCCTTATGAATCTTATTTTAATTATCCTTTAAGAATCAAGTCCTTCCATGTTGTGATCTTGCTAGCATGATACTGAGTGCTAGCAAGAAAACAAAGCTATATGGTAATGGGGATATTTCTCTTTATGTCTCCTCTTGATGACAGCCATCCTTGTGTGCTGGTGCCCTGGTCCCTGCCCCCACCTTGTGTGATCTGCAAGTTGGAAATGACTTATAGCAACCCCGATAGAACTTTCAAGGTGAGATATTCAAGAAGTGGTTTTTACCAGTTCCACTCCCCCACTGTTTTCATGGTTTCCTGAGCAGGGATTTGAGCCCTGGTCTCCAGAGTCCTAGTCTGTCACTCTGCCTACTACAACACAGTGGGAACCACACTAACTTGCTTAGTTGATCATAAAATAATTTTCTTCCAGAAGCACCAGTCCTCTGCAGAATACTGTGGGCCTGTGTAGGTAGGTGTTCAATAAAGGGGCCAGACTCCATGATCCATAGGGTCCCTTCCAGCTCTGCAGTTCTGAGATGATTATGATGATTAACCATAAGCAGAGCGAGCAATTGAGCCCCCACTCCCTTTGGGGGCTAGAGCCTAGTGGCGCAATGGTTAAACTGCTCTAACTGGAGCCAAAACTGTGCTCACGACCTGGGGTTCAATCCCAGGTAGCCGGCTCAAGGTTGACTCAAGCCTTCTTTCCTTCCGTGGTTGGTAAAATGAGGGGGGGGGAAAATATGTAGCTTGCATAATTAACTTGTAAAATATTTTTTGTTTATGTGTATGTTATTGTATCTTCACCTGTCTGAAATCCGCCTAGAGTGGTCGTATTGACCAGATAGGCGGGGTATAAATAGAATAAACAAACAAACAAACAAACAAACAAACTGCCCAACGCTTTGTTTTTTGCTTTGTGTCCTACATTTTGATACAGTATATGGGAAGCTAAATCTAGAGACATTTCTGTATTTGTGTAGTTCTTCAACACAATCAGAAACTGTTGTTTTCTCAGGAGTTCTAATCATGTGTGGAGCCCCCCTCCATACAGAGACAGATTCTCTTTCTGGATTTAAGACTTTTGGTTGGAGAACAGCCTACTCTCTGTCTTTCCACGTTCAGATAACCCATATCCTGAACTCTTGATCACTGCTTCTCCCTGTGACAAAGCAGATGTGAAGAGCATGAAAGTAGGTTGTTGGATGTGGGCTCAACACAACACCTGATTTGTACTGCCATTATAGCAGATCCTTAGGTGGACTGGAAGTCCCTTGTTGTACAAACACAAGTGGCAATCAAGCATTAATGTTCCTGAATCAAAGTTTCTAAAAAAGCAAAAACAAAAACACAAATTTACACAGTGAATCAAGAGGAAATTTCTTGAACTGAAGCAACATCACTGATTAAGACAATATGATTGCTGTGTTTGTGTGTGTGTGTGTGAGAGAGAGAGAGAAGAAAGAGACTCTTCCACAACATACTTATCAGCATCTTTATTCGTACTTACTTGCTTTCAAACTACTGTTAATATTTAACAAAAAAAGTCATGCAAACAAAGATTAATCATTAAGATTCAGGAAAAAGTGCAACAATTTGTACATTAATCTTGCCTGCTTTTTTTTTCTTTTTTTGAGTTCCCTCTACAAATGAATGGCCACTCCATTTTCCCTACAGTACCTCCCAGTTATGAAATAAGTTTAGAAAACACCTCCCTCTCTTTGAAATAGAAATGTTGAGCCTTAAATTGGTATCATATAAAAAATGTAAAAATTTTTATTGGTTCTGACATTGGTCAAAAGAAAAGCTTAACATAGCAGGTATTATGACAGGTTCCATTTTTGTATGCTGGAAAATCAGTTTCTTATGGGATGCAATCTGGTAATAACAACATGACACATGTATATTTTGGAGTTAACACTTAAAAAAAATTACAATCCTTTTGTTAGACTGCTTGCATTCTTCTGAGTATTGGAAATAAATAAACCTTGTCATTTCTGAAGAACAGTGTATGCTATTAAGTATTTGTACCAAAGCAGACCACAACTGAAATCTTAAGCCCAAGGTCCCACAAAGACCTAAGCAGCCAGCAGCCAGTTAACTAAGAGGGGCTTCTTTAAAGCTGACTTCTTTGACCTCACCTCATCTCTGATGGGACCAAGGGCCCTCAAGGTGCCAGGCAGGCCATGTGTTGCCTCAGTTCTGCAAGTGTGTCCCAATTCACTTCAGTGGGAAGGAAAACTGTGAAAAATCCAATAAATGAATGGGGGGGGGGCACCACTCCAGAGTGAAAGTCCTAGGGAAACACTTAAGGGTATTGAAAGCTGGATTAACATCTGGGTGCTTTATTGAAAATGGGTGAGCCCCAGTGATCTACATATTCTTCCTCAATACCCTTGTGTGCAACATCTACCTATAGATTCCAATGGGATCAGCTTAGAAGAAATTCATGGTGGAATGTTTGAATACTGAGAATCTAGTTCTCTACAGTCTGATGAAATCATATTCTAACCTGATTATGCTCTGATACTGTTTTGCTGAGATCCTTTTCTTTATGTCAGGTACTGAGGTGTGTGTTGTTTTTTTTAAAAAAAAAACATTTCTCTGCAATAGTCATAATGACTAATGTTAGAAGAAGCACAGCACATCTCAGAACCAGACTGCATTTCTAGCAAAATGAGATTTTTGCTGACACAATCAGTTACTTTCAAAAGGGTTTTCCCCCCTTTCCTTCCAGTGTTTTAGGAAACATTGCAAGAATATATCTACGGTGTAAAATACTCTTAAATGGAAATATCTGTTGAACAGTATTAAGAGTTTTATTTCTATAGAGTTTGAATCTCAGGAGTAAGAAAACTGTCTATGATTTTGCAAAAACAGCATTTTGCAGTCCTACAAAGAATTTTCTTTTGCAAGAGTTAAACTGAGTTTCAGCTCCTATATCAAGATATATCTTAGGTTTTTTTCCCCCAGCAATATTATTAAAATGGTATAAAAAGTACAAATAGCAAAGCCTATTCAGCTAAACAGGTAAACTGACATAAAATCCCATTAAGAAGTGTAACACTTTTAATATATATGTTTTCACATTAGAAAGGGTACTAGGAACAACAGCTTAGCAGCTGACAACAGCCTGTGAGGAATATGAGTATTATTAACCCCATCTTATACAGGGAGAAAGTGAGGCAGAAAGGTTTAGTACCTTGCCCAAGGCCACAGAATGAATCATTTCCAGAGCTGAGAAAGATAGTCCATTGTTCCTAGATCCCCTACCTGTAATAGAACGATGAGAACCTCTCCCATTAAAGGTTTTAAAAAATGAACAGCAGGGTTTTTAAGTGTCCTGTTTCCTTATTCACTATAAGGCTATACAAAAATGATGTTTCAGTGGCACAACTGTCCAGTGATAATCTGAAATCATAATTACCAGTGCTAAATCATTAATTAAAACATTTCAGATTGAGCTTGTGGTTATGGATTTGACCTTTGACACTAGATTTTTCTTAACGATATTGCACCTTTTCCTGTTTTGTTGAACAAGACATTTGTTTGTTGAACATTGTAGCTACAGTTGAATTTTTGCTATTTGACACATTGACACAGATGTAAAGAGATGAAGGAGGAAAAACCAACTCCTAGTGACAATCGGTTAATGTGAATTACTTAGATAACATGAATAACAAATCCCAAACTTTTCCTTCCAATTACTTTGATGGGCATAAATTATAACCTGAACTCTGTAAATACTTTATACTGTAAAGCCTGTGTTGTTTTACATATTCCACTATTGGACACATGTTGCTGTCCTATGAGCACTGCTCTCCACTGGCAGAAAGCTGCTGGATGGAGCAAGAAGCGGAGACAACATAATGGCCTCTCTCTCATTCTTTATTTCTTTCTCTCCCTCCCTCTCTCTCTCTCAACATATCAGATTTCATCACTGTCAAAAAAACCTTTGCTGAATTCCTGCATTATATGCCTTGTCTTCTGTCTCTTACTGCAAAAATAAAAAATAAAAAATGAAAATTCTACAGGGCATAGCAAAATGATAAACAGATATTCACTAAAGTTTTGATATGCCATTTTAACTTTCAAGTCAAGAAAAATGTGTGAGTGTTAAACTGCAGGCTGAGAAGATATATTCCCTCTATTTGTTAGCTCTACAGTGAATGAAGCATCAAGCCTAAGAGAACAATGGCTTCTTAAGCAAGTGTTATATTCACTGTATTGGCTCTTATGACTGCAGACCAGGACCATTCTAATGTTTTGCACTTGATACACAAGCATTCTAAAGAAAGTCTGGTTAGGGGATTTTTTGCTATCAAAGAAACTAGGTGTTGGGTGTTTATCTTGTTTCACTGTTGTTTAAAATACTTTCTCTGCCAAGTCCTCTCTGCATCCTTGTAATGCTTATCACTTTGCTAAACACACATGATTGTGTGTAACTGATGATCCCCTACTTATTCAAGAAGTTTGAACACTTCATACTGGACTAAGCTGAGACTTCAGAAGAGCAAGATTCAAAGTGGACAAATTTCAGATCCAGCAAAAGTTCATATAAGAATACTACTGTATTTACTGGCTAGGGAAGAAAAAAAACAGGAAGTGACTAGATTTTGCAGTCCTGTGTAATACATGCATGAAACAGAAATAAACAGTTGATCACACTAATAACAGCCCCCCTGACAAGAACTAATTATCACTGATTCTATGCACTATTATGATACATTTCCACATATATGTTATAATCTAAATTCCACTCATCATCATCTACTACCCGTTGTTTGATTTGGCTTTCTTAGATTATGATTTTCGTATTCCTTCACACAACTGCTCTCTTCAACCTCTCTCTAGTACATAGAGCCACAAAAACATACCTGGTCAAACTATTTGTCTATCTAGCTCCTTGCAATCTACCCTGAGTGGCACCAGTTCTCCAGGAGGTCAGGGAGATACTTTCCCTTTCCCTGGGATTGGAACCCTTTTAACTAGACATGCTTCAGGTTAAATGCAGGGACGTGAATGAGCAAAGTGGATGTTTCACCACAGAGGCAAGTACTTTTCCTCAACTGAACAGGTATCTTTACACTCTAGGTGTTAGATCATCTGCTCCACAGGACAGAGATGTGTCATCTTGTTTATTAGTCCAAGAACATGGCATATTCACTTTTTTGGCACCCTAATAAAGGTATTGTTGTGACTCAATATACGCCACACATCAGTCCCACCGAAATGGATCTGACTGTGCCAGACTGTGTTTAATGTTCTAGAAAAAAAATAAGAAATTTCTGTGAACGAAATGTCCTGAAACAAGTTTACCTCACATAATGTTGATAGTCACTTTCTGTGCATAATTATGCTTCCAAGAATGCCATCGCTGATAGAATTGTGTTCTTCCAATGGCAGGAAACGTATTGAATGAATGGGATACTTTTTAATATTTTTTTTTAATTTTTGCCAGGCTATTCCAATTACAGATAAGCCACAAAGCATTTAAACTGAGCATTCAAAATTACCTGCTTAATAATGGCAAAGCAGACATAACGTTCTCCAAAATGGTCATAATTTTTAAGAAAAGAGGAAAACATAAATACGGTAGTGTCAAAACTTAGCTGAACACTTCTACTGGCCAGAGTCCAACTGAATATTTACATGGGTATTAAGCCCAAAATGTTAGTGGCCTGTTGCTGCTACTTAAGAAATTGGTGCCTGTATGCCTTGTTCCATAGCAACGCTGGATAGTTCAGTGGTTTAGGTAGAGGATGGGGGTTCAGTTTGCTACTGTGGCTCTTTGACAGGGGCTGGACTCTATGATCCACAGGGTCTCTTCCAGCTCCCCAGTTCTAAGACTGTTAATGTGGTTTTTAAAATTATTATTATAACTCATGCAACTGGTTTGCAACAAGTAACACAAGTGCTAATTCTTAACTAGCAGCCCCCTCACTGCTGAAGTTTATACTGCTGAAGTTCTCATAGTGAATGCAAATAACAGGATTCTGAACAATGTAAAAATATAACATTTTTATATGCATCCATCAATGTTCAACCTACCCTGAATACAGTCTTGCTTCATACTCCTATCTATAGCTAGAGAATAAATACATTTGCATTTTTCCTATTAATTGTCTCTTATTCACAGCAATGGTTCTCTCCTACAGCTTTCAAACCTCTTGTTTACTTCCAGGGCACAAACACCTCCAGCTGTTTAACTCAGGTGTTTTAATGATTGACCTTTCTGGATTTACCCCTATGGATATTTTCTACCTACTTGTTTGGTTTTCAGCTGCTAAACACAGACTAAACTAACTAAATAAATAATTAGAGATATATGTGTGAAAGACTAGAAGTGACATGTCTTTCAGAGGTCTGCATTTTCCTCTGTGATCACCTAGCACAGCGGTTCCCAACCTTGGGTGACCCAGGTGTTCTTGGACCGTAGTTCCCAGAAGCCTTCACTACCAAGTGTGTTGCCTGGAGGTTCTGGGACTCCTAAGAATATCTGGTTTAACCCAAGGTTGGGAACCACTCTCCTAGAGAAGTGGAAAAGGGAATAATGGTGTTGAAGAATATGCCCTATCTAAGTGCTGAATGGGGAAGAAGGAAATATCTTTGGAAAAGATACAGAATATTCTTGGTAAGGTAGAATGTCCGAAGTGACCTTGTAGAAGGATGGATCAACTTGAGGGAGCAAAAAAAATTTTCAAGACAGAATTCATGAAATCATCTGGCGCCATTCGGAGTTGTAGAATCAACCCCATTTTAGAATAAATCTGGAAATCTCTGTTTGAGATTTCATGGTGATTTTCTGGGAAGGAGTTTACTTGGAGACCATACTTTCATACTTAAAAAAAAAAGGCAGGGAGATGGCCCCTTCATTGGGCAACAAACACAAAAAAGATGCTGGCACTGACGTACACACATTTAGTATCCATGTTTAGAACTCTTACAAAGGGAAACAACACAGGGAAAGGGAGTACCTATCCCACCGCATGCCAAACATGCAAATGAAATATTTACTGGTCTTAAAAACCAGAATCTTCTATAAATAAATAAGAAGGAGGGAAATATGAATAATTTAAAACAAGAGGACTAGAGCACTACTGGGAAAGACTGATTACATATTGGCTTGACTTATTTTTCTTTTCATTTGCCAGGAATAATGGATGTATAATAACCACCAAATATAGCCACCTCTCAGTGAAAGAAATGTACGTGTTCTGAGGCAGCAGCCAGTTATTCCCAAAGTCTCCTGTTCAAGTCCTCTTCCCCTTTAATACAAAATCCTCGAGCTGCTCTTTAAATGCCCTGAAATAAAAACATATCTCTACTTAAGGATCTAGTGCTCAACCACTGTTAAATGGATTCCAGGGACAGGTGAAATACCCTTCCATGCACCAGAAGAGTTTTTGTTTTGTAGCTTGGGGGCAGCTCTTAAACCCAAAAAATAAAATTTAAAACTTGGACACATGCATGTTTCACATGCATGCGTAGTACTTTTTGACTGTGCTTTACAGAAAACCTGCAGATAGTCATGATAACTTAGCTGTAGATCTACAGAAGAATAAAGTGTAGGTTTCCCTAAACTATCAACATTATGCAGAATTTAAAACAAAAACAAAAAAACATTAATAAAAACTAATTCTATATTTAAAGAAATTGTCATCCAAGAACCTTCACAAATATAGCACAGTTTTGTCTTATTTAAAAAAGTACTGTATATTGTTATTATGTTCATACTTGATACAATTATCCATAATATAGATTCAATAATAATAATAATGCTTATTATTAGCATGCAAAATTCATTGCATGATGCATATTCAAAAATGTATTCAACAATTTCATTCAGGATGACTGCAGCTGAAGAAAATATCTTCAGTTTTGTTTTTCAAACCCTCACTCCCCCTCCCCCCGCAGTTTCAGGTCTCTTAAGCCAAAGTTAAATGCTTTTTAAAAAATCTTTAATTATTTTGGAAAATCAGAGACATTCTGAACCCTACACCTCTATTAATTTAATGTACAAACACTTTTAATACTCCGTCATGCAGCTTACTAAATAAATTAGTATAAACCAAGGAGTGAGAGATGTATAGATTCATTTCGGAGTCACGATGAGAAACATTTCCAAATCAAGTTTGGGAACTGGCATGACATAAACTTGAATAGCTGTGTAAATTAAACATTAAAATGGCACCCTGGATCACAGTATAATCTCATGGAGATTAAAATTAACACACATATCAGTACTGTTTTACTTTTTAGCTAGTTCATCACAGAGTCTAGTCAGTATTAGTCCCAAATATCCTTTTCCCCCATTTCATAGTGAGAAATTTATACATGTGTCTCCAGCTTTGATCAACGTATTTTAGAAGATTTTATGAACTCGATTTGTTCATTCGTTTTGATAAGTACCTCCTCATCTGAAGCACTGAGGCATTTCTTTTGTTCATATCCTTTCTCTATTCCAAGTATTTTACATCTTCAGGTCTTCATCCTGTCATGTGATACCAAGGAGAGGGCCTGGTCCCACATGGCTATGCATGCAACCTATCAGATCCACATTTTCAAATGACTAAGTATTTTTTTCCCCAAGCCTACATGAAATGCTTAAATGGGTTATTAACATCATAAAAAGGAAATTCCGAAGTTACAGGATACAAAGGGAAACAGTAAGGTTATAAAAATGTCAAAGGTTAGCTTTGTAAGTTTAACCTAAAAGCAGCAGTGAATTCTAGATGAAATACATTGGGTAGTATGTGGTAATTGCCTAAGACCGGATATTTCTCATTGTAAACCTCAGTTTTTTTTTTAAAAAAAATATTTCTTACCCTTACAATTTTTAGACCCAATGGAATAAAGAAGGCAAAGGTCTAAAAACTTCAGGGTATGAACAATTTTTCATTGTGTGGCTTCTCTGTGTCTACAATTTTCATACTTCAACCTGCAACATGGGATGGATGAACTGTGGGTTCACATAGGAGAACCCTTCAAAATCCGTTTGGTCTATATTAGAAATGACAAGCTGATCAGGTGGTGTTAACACGGGTTGTCCTCTGGTAAAGAACTTGTCAAAGTTTTCAGCGCCCTTGCCACACTGTGAAAAAAGTAGAAAAATTAGAAACAGAAAATTAACTTTACTGCATAAATATCCCATCTGAATTCATGGTTAGTACTCCAGGTAGTGATGCTGGCTGTGGAGGAGACTAATTATTATACAGTAGTTTCAGAGAATTTTTGCTTTGTCAAGAGCAGCTTACTATACAGTAGTTGACACCAGTTATAAACCTCCCCTAGCTCTTATTTTCTCTTACATATATCTAACATAGATATGCAACATGCAGAAACTCAATTTTGTCTGTGGCAAGTAAGCAACCGTTTATATTTTAGATGCATAAGCACCATACTGCATTTATGTGGGGTCACAGTGAGGAAAACACAGTTTACTGCCACAGCTATGAATCACAGTCGCCCTGCAGAGGAATATTTCACAGCTGTTTCATCATGCCAACATGCATCACCTCAATTTTTATTTATAACAATAAACTGGAAAGCACTTCATATTGTACAGTGCACTACCTCTTTTCTTTGTTTTCAAATGGCAAACTATTTTATGACAAACATAAAGGTCTTTAACTTGATGGGTGTTTTGGAGCAATTCCAGCCTGCAAAGTAAAAATAGATGCTTCGGGGGGAAAACATTTTTTCAGATCTCCAGGTTGTTCTGTACTAAAACACTTTAGGAAAAAATTATTCAACCCTCCCCCCAAATCAAATATAACTTTCATAAGCCAGTCTTCGTACATGAAGTACATAAGACTCTTTCAGCTGCCTACACCGAAATGGAAAGAGAGCATTTTTATCTGAGTTTACAGAACTAAAAAGTATTGCTATGATTCAAATTTACAATTATTCCACTACAAATACCTTTTTAAAATGACATGCAGAACATTTAAATTATGTCATTTCTGTGGACATAATTCTGCTGGAAAAGAAACAGTGAGCTCAGGTAGTATCACGGAAACTTCATTGAACTCCATAAGCTAGAAAACACTTCCAGTGGCAAGATGCTGATTCCTTGCCACCTTTTAAGCCTCTCAGAATTGGGGGTTGGGGAACCTATCAGTTTTTCCAGAATTGCAGTATCGAGGGGAACCTACTCCAAGAATGTAAAAAGAATGTATATTAACAGCCAAAGGGAGGAACAATGATAAACAGGCGAACAATATGGGGTTTTGCTGAGCCCTCAATTAGAGATGGGGACGAACCACCAAAATGGGGCTTCATCTTGGTTTGTAGTTTGTCAAGGTTCATGGACCATAAACCATGAACCAGTTTGTCGGGCCTTTTTTTCCCAGATAGCCCGGGGCTATTGTGATTCCACGAACCAGCGATTTCTCACGAATATCACAATTTCCTTTTTTATTCATCCCCATCTACCCTCAGTGCACCTGCCAGCACAGCCCAGCTTCACACACTGTGACGTGATGAGATCCCATTTTTAATCCAGCAACTTCAGAAGCTATTTTAGCATCAAGTGGTTAAAATATGGGAGATGGTACTCGGGGCCAAGGTGGGAGAAGAGAACTGATGTCTGCCCTCCCCCTTTTCTTCTAGTAGGAGCATTCTGAGCAGGAACTTGTTAACCTCCCAGTGGCTGAATAAAAGTTGGAGGTAGCCATCTACTTAAACTGAACTCCTGAAAGAAGAAATGGTCTTGTTAGGACTTCTTAGGTCCATCTGGGTCACTTGGTATTGTGTGAAGCTATTCACTGGGAAAGGACATGTTATTTGTCTCACTTACCACTTTAGGCTTGAAAGGAGGCTGGATGTCTCTGTTTTCTAGTCTCTCCCAGTCAATTCTCCTGAAGAAGGCATGCTCCCTGATGTCTCTCTCTCCTTCGGGACCACATCCAAGACGTTTTGCAGGATGCTTAGTCATTAACTAGATGCCAAACAGAACAAGGATGAAAAAGTATTTTTTTTTCCTCCCAGAACAGCTGCAAGAGACAACTGATTACTTGCCTTGATATACCATTTCACCTTCAGAAGAGCTGGAATAACTGATAATTACACCAAGAGCTGATTACCTGACAATGGGAAATAAGATGCTTGTTTTATAATCTTCATACCTTTTGTTCTGCTTTGATATTACATGATCAAACTGGGCTCTGCTATAACCAAGTGCTGCAGATTGGTTCCTGTAATGGGCTTCTAACTGTCCTTTATTATTGGTTTAAAACATGGGTCATGTGTGTCTCCTGAAAAGGTAAGCAATGTCATTGTCTTTTTAAGGATACCAACTCAGCATCATGCATTCCATTATATTTAACATTTATAACAGAATCTATGGAGAATCTTTGCCTTTCCCCAGATGTTTCACACTGTAACTCTCATACAACTTTATCAATGACCATGCTGGAGGGGGCTGATGAAAGTTTTAGGGTGAAATATCTGGAGGGCCAAAGGTTTCTCAATCCTGCTCTCTCTGTACTGTACACAGTTTCCTCTTTCTCATTTGGGCCTTTTATCTTCCAGTACTTTCAGAGTTCAATTCTTAGCAGCCCCAGTCAATCTGCATAATGGAAAGAAATTCTGGGAGTTGAAGTCCAAAACAGCAAAAGCTGAAAACCACTGCTCTGGGCAAACAGTAACCTTCTTGCTAAAGACTTGGATTAAAATCAATCTACCCTGTTTCCCAGAAAATAAGACACAGTTCATAATGTCTACTGATCTCTGTTGATGGTAGTACAGTATGCTTCTTCAATTGCATATTTAATAGTAAATAGTTAATAATATCAGTAAATATCAGCTGCATGGAGAAAAAGTGATTCAGGAGAAGAAAAACACTCATATTTGTAAATGGAATTACTGTGTTATCAGGTGGTATCCTGAAGATAAATATATACACATCAGAGATACAATTTCATGAATTCTGAACTCTATGACCAGTTTTTTCATTTGAAGTACAGTGGTGCCTCGCTTACCGGGTGACCCGTTTAACGAATAATCCGCATACCGAAGGTGATTTTGCGATCGCAAAAGCGACCGCAAAACGATGTTTTCAATGGCCCCATTTTTGCGCAGGTGATGGGCGGGGCTTCCGGCGGATGGGGGGAAAGGGATTCCCCTCCCCACCCTCAGGAGCTGAGCTGAAATGCTGGCTTCAGCATGGGCTTCAGAAGGGGAGGGGGAAGGGATTCCTCCACCTCCGGAGCTGTGCTGAGATGCCAGCTTCAGCGTCAGCTTCAGGAGGGGAGGGGGAAAGGAGCCATCCCTTCCCCCTACCTTCCCCCAGCTGACTGGCGGCGGCAGTGGAGGGGATGAGGGGGTGCTTCGGGGACCGCGGGGAGGCAGGGCAAGGCCCGGGTGTTCTGGTGGCCCTCCTCCCGAGCCCTCGCTTGTCTCCCAGGCTCGCTAGCTGGCTGGTTGGCAGTGCTTTACTATGATCGGTTCCCTGCTTGGGGAACTGATCACGGTAAAGCAATGCTTTTTTAACAGCTGATGGGCGGTTCCAAGATGGCCACCGCTGTTTTCTGGCTGGATTCCTTGCTTACCGAGGCGGTGAAAATGGCCGCCCCTATGGAGGATTTTCGCTGAACGGTGAGTTTTTGCCCCATAGGAACGCATTAAACAGGATTTAATGCGTTTCTATGGGTTTTTTTGTTCCGTTTAGCGATGTTTTTGGATAGCGACGTTAATCCTGGAACGGATTAACGTCGCTATGTGGGGCACCACTGTATTTTTTTCAATAGTCTTCTCTAGGTATCTGTTTTTAAACAATGCATGCTGGAGCTATGCAGATACATTTACATTATATAGTACTTTTAATTAAAATTATTAAACTCTTTTTAATTTACTATATTTATAGCCAATGTTTTCAGCCATATTCTCCCAAGACAGTTTATAATAAATTATAATCAAAACAATCCAAATCTCAAAATGAAACAAAAACCCAAATGAAAGAAGAGGAGAAAATGTAGATAGAAAAAGCATCATACTAAAATCATGTTCATGCATACAGACTGCTGATATTAGCTGCTATTGACACTGGACACAAACGAAATACATATAATTATCTTTTTTATTTTTTCATGTCCATAGGAAGAAAGAATGATAGAAGATTGGCAGGAAGGGGGAGGCATAAGTGATATTTTAAAAAATGCTGAATTTATTTTTGGATCTCAAATCACCAGACCTACTTGCTTAAATATCCACTTAAGCAGCAGCTGTTCTAACCACAGTACAGAACGTACATATTTTTATTCCTACTTAGTGACAACATTTATTTCTCTGTGATATGCATGGCTTTTCTCCTGTTTGTGGAACAAGCTAAACAGGCAGCAAGCAGGAAACATTTCATCTGTATTTCACAAAAGATCACTGAACTGAGAGGCTCTTTTTCCCCAACTCCTAGAAAAATGTGTGTCTCTAAATATTAGAGTCTAAAAGTACAGGTTTAGGGAGGCAATGCTACAGAAGCAGTCAAACTAAATGAAAATCATGGAAATAATGCCATCTACAGGTTGAAACAAGCATGAAAAGCAGCTATGATTGGACAACCCGTTGCAAAATAATCTGGGAAGAAAAAGAGCTTTCTTATGTGGAAATTACTTGTATTTGGGGTATGTAATCTTTCCCAGCATCCATCTATGGGGCAAAATCATCTCATATGAAGCAGCCTTTGGAAGCAGAATGCTTCTGAAGAATGAGATGAAAGCAGTGCAAACAAGGCGGTTTAGAACTGCAGGGTTTACTGAAATCTGCAAGAATTGGCAAATTTATAAAAACGTTTCTTAAGATGAACACATTTTTTGTTAACTGTTAAGCATTGTTAATGGTATGGGGTGGACCGATTAGATGTGAGAAAGAACTACACAACTAGAATAGATCCACTGAATCCATGGGATTTACATGTATTGATTTAGCAAGTCTTAGTGATTCAGTGGATTTGGTCCAGGTGGATCATTTTGGATTTAGCTCAGACCTTTTAAAAATGTGGAAGGCACAATTAAAAGGATTAATAAAATACTGAAGTCATACTATTAACGGTGGCAGAAGCAACAACCACAAATGATCCTAAAAAGTAAGCAGTACTATTGTATTATATTATACATTAAGAATGTATAATCTGGGAAGAAGCCATGAAAATCTCATTGTCTTGATAAATAAAAATAGTAATCATAATGCTTAATTTTTTTTTAACATGTTATAACACCAGTAGGTCATTCGTTCCATTCTCTGCTAAATTTGAAGCACCCTTATACAACTAGTAGCCTTCTTCTTTTCAGCCATATCGAGATCAACATGTTTCTCATAACCAAACAGTTTTCCATTCCTCTAATTTTCAAGAAAATATTCAAGAATAATGTCCAGGGCTTTCTACAGCTGTAACAGGAACCTCAACTATCTATTGGGTTGCAGTTTCAATTGTAGCTGAAGCAGAAGGCATGAGAAATACTTAAATTAGAAGGTTACAGGCAAGTAGATATTTGAAAATTAAGTTGTAGAGGAAGAGATTATTACTTAGTATTAGAAATGCATATCTTCCCTTATTTTGTTTCTGTGGCCAACAATCTTTCCACTAGACAAACTTACAAGTGTATTTTCTCCATTTCAGTCCTTCCCCCCCTTGCACAATTTTGCAGAATGTCCTTTTGTGTGTGTTTTTTTTTTGCAAAAAAGCCCCCAACAAACCCTACTTTAAAATGCAAGATATAACACATTCATTCATTCATTCATTCATTCATTCATTCATTCATTCATTCATTCATTCATTCATTCATTCATAAATAAATAAATAAATAAATAAATAAATGGAGTGGCTGATGAGAAGTGCTGGTATTTTGGCTCTTCTGTAGGATCTTGCAGTGGTTGCTAACTTTTTCAAGGAACAAAAAACTTACCAAGTATTGCTTACTGTGACTATTTAGCATGAACAAGCAAGCTGAACTGAGCCATGAAGTACACCGGAACGACGTAATAAACATTTTGTAGGTCGACTACCAACATCTGAGACACTTAACATGTGTGTGTGTGGTTGACAATGTGTCTGAGTATAGCTTGCTGGCTGACTTACCCCCTTGCAAATTGAAACGGCTTCTTTGGACATAGCTTTGGGGTAAGAAACATTGTGTTCCATTATTGACTGAAAGAGCTCATCTTCATCTTCACCATCAAATGGAGGCTGTTAAAGTGAATAAATGCCACATGTTTAACAGGTAATTCAGAGTTAATGCTGACGCAAAATATTTATTCAATGGCTGATGAATCGGAGAGGAGGGGGAAGCTGTCTATACCCGCTTCCAGTTAGCTCACATTTTATAATCTCAGTTACTTTAGATAGGCATGGCTACAGTCCATTATTTCTATCACATCAACAGGGTCCTCCTTAGTGCTGCTGAAATCTGAGGTCAGTTGAATCCCAGCCAAAAGGGTCCAGGGTTAGCTACAGATGTGCACAAGGCAAGCATGGAAAGGGGAGGTCATTCTAAAGCCCTTTGACTGAAGGAAGATTTTGGTACAGGCAGGCTTTGAACTCGCTTTGTGTTCAGAGACAAAATACATCTTAACCAGAGATGAAAAGGAAGCATAACATAGTGGCGCGCAAGCCCTATCCAGACAACAATGTCCCTCCAAACACATAAGGGCTTATACCTTACAGGCTCCTGCTGTGCATACATATTCATCATACATGCACAGGATGGGCTGAGCCATCTGAATGGAGCTAAAGAAAAGCAATTACACCAAGAGAATAGCAGACCTACTGTTCAACTAGCCTTACAAAAGTTCCCATGAATTCTGTGCTTTCATAGGCGCACAGAAAAGGCAGCACATACTTTCTTTTGCAGATTTCTCATACTGCTTTGTTAGCATATGTCCAGGGGCATATTTTGCACTGTGGGATACCACTATTTCATGATGGCTGCCATCCTTTGGGTCAGGGGATGGGCGCAGTAGGTATTGCTGGGGTGTGTGTGTCTCATCTTCATTGACTTAATGGTTTATAGCAGGTATGAAAAACTTTTTTCTTTCCTCCAAGGACCATATAACAGGCCCATCTTCATTCTGTCTCTCTCACACACACACACTCACCCCTATTCATTTTCACAATTAAAATAAATCTCACATATTGCAGTTATGTGTAGTTTTTTAAAAAGCCTAATTAAACAGTTGGTGCAATTTACAGAAATAAGTGTTCTGGTGAGAGGAGGCTGCCATTCTGCAAGGTGGGCAGGATTTTTTTTTTTTTTTTTGAATCTCTACTGGTGGAAAGAGCTATTTTTGAAAAGTCTATTCATTATTTTGGGACAGTTGAGGAGGTTGAGTGTGAGATTCTCTCTCTGTGTCATCAAGGTTCAACCTTGTTCTTGACAATAGTTAATACCCATACCGAATTATTAGTTAAGTTTATCAAAGCTTTTGGAGTGCAACGTCAGCAATGCACTGCTGACGCCCATCTCTCTTTCTCTTTTCTATCTAAATGCAGGAAACCTGCTCTGAAGCACTGACCGATTTCAGAAATGGACGGGGTAAAGTTTTCTCCGTTCAGGACAAGAGCAGTCTTCATCAACAGATATGCAGCACAGGTATTCACCATGCTTAAAGATTTAGTTTAACAGTTGGGACACACCCGTCTGGGACTTAACACTAATACCCTCATTTAGACAGTGGTCAGGAGTACTTCTGCACCCTGAAGACTAGGATACCAGCTACACCCATCTCTAAAGAGGTCAGAGTTGGCCATAGTGACATATGCCTTAGTTTCATCTTTTTCTGGGCCACTCCTCATGAGCTCTTCACAAGGTTGCAGAGGTCACCACCCTTTAAAGAGCTGTTGGAGACTTCACCAGTTTCAGAATGCTCTGTTTGAATTAGTCCATGAGGGTGATTTTTGGAGAGCAAGTGACATGACAACAACTTCACTGGTGATGGCCCTATTCCTGGGCGTAGTTCAAAGGGCTGGTTAAGGCCTTTCAGAGCCCTACATAATTTGGGACTAGGTTACGAAAAACAAAACAAAACCCATAACCAAACAGCATTCTCCCATATAAACCTGCCTAGTTTTTAAAGATCTTTTAGAAAGACATTTCCTTCTTTTCACCCATCATCTGGAAATGAAACTCACTTGGAAGAAACTTGGGAGAGGGCTTTTACAGGACCTGCTTCCAAGCTCTGAAATGCTTTTGCCAAGGAAAGCCTGTCTAAGCCCTTCTATGATAACCTTTTGTAAGCAGACAAAGAGATTTTTATTCACTGGCCTTTGTCCTCTTAGGCTGACTTTCTATGACCTTTTTAAATACACTACAATCGTTCCTGCTGGTTGCTGTTTTATTAAATTTACCAATGTGTTTGACCTGTCTTCTGTTTACTCACTCACTTACACATGTTGCTTTGCTTTTCATTGAAATTATCTTGAGCTACTTTTGTTGGAAAAATAGGATACAAGTCTAGCAAAGAAATAAAATGGCTCTCTCTCTCTCTCTGTCTCTCTTTTGAAAAGTCACTCACCAGGCATTTCCAAAATATGAGCTAGTACTATTTTAGTGTGCATTACTATACAGCTCCATACTCCAACAGGTGGAGAAGGCGTAACAGCAGAGCCTTATTGAAACTATGCTTAAAATAGGTCCCAGGAGAAAATGTACAGAACATTTTCATAAATCAACAGAATTAGGTTATATTGATAGGTTGCCTTGAGCAGAACGTAGCTATTTAGCGTGTGCATTTTTCGCTGCTTTAAATAAACAGCAGTAGTTTGTGTGTGCACAGGAGCAGGTTGATGCTTACGGTGGATAATCTCTACACTATGCACACAACAAAGTGACTGTAATTTTGGAACAACCTTCGCAGATTATTGGAAAACTGACTTGGCGTGACCACTCATCCAACTGGTCTGCTGTGAGTCCTTCTTTCTAATATACTATCCTTTACATTCCACCAAGGTTTCTTTAAGAACCCATTAAATTTAATCACACAGCCATACTTACCTGACCAGCTAGCATTTCATATAACAATACACCGTAGGCCCACCAGTCCACTGACCTCCCGTATGGCTGATAGGCAATAATCTGTGAATTACAATGAAAAATAATTTTGAGGTTTGATTAAGAAAAGAAAATGTGTAACTAAAAAGACACCACTATTGTTCAATGAGAGGTAGCATATGACACAAGACTACTTCAAAACAATGAACAAATTTAAGCAATTCCACTAGCACCTGCTTCAGTTTTATATTATGATATGATATTTTAAACTGATTAGGTCTGAAGTCCTATGCACTTTTTCCTGAGAAGAAGCCCCTTTGGATGTAGTGGGACCTTCTTTAGGTTCAAAATGTATACATTTGTGCTGTAATGCACCCTGGACTTGGAAATCATCCAGACCCTTTGGGCCAAGATAAGCTGTGATTCCCACAATCTTATCTGGATGAGTAACAATAATGTAAAATAAATTTCTGTCCAAGTTTGTATTGCCTTTCTCTCTTTAGGAACAATTCTAGTTCTAAGAAAATATCCAAAGCATTGAAATGTGTAGTTAGGTTTCACATGATCATAGTGAGGTCAGATAGGGACTGAAGTGCCATCTTGTAAATTACAGTGCATCAGGCTGATAATGTCATCAAACTTATGCAGTGTAGCTACACAAACAGGATTTCAGCCAGTATTTCTCTGGAAAGACAGCTGTCAGCATGAAAGAGATTTCTGCTGTCTAAACAATGGGATTAACTTAGCCACTGTCCCAGGTCTCTGGAATAATCTCTCTATTGAAGTCAGAGCCCATTGCTTCTTTATATCAATTTGGAAATCCATTTGTTTTAAGAGGCTTTTGAAATCTAATTTATATATGAAGCTATCAGAGTTTCTGGTTTAGGATTTTATACTGCTGTTTGTGGCAGGCTGTATTATTTACTTGGTGTCTTTTTGCATACATTGTGTTGCACTGTATTGTGTGAGATTCCTGTAAACCACTGAACCAAGGTTCTTGTTTGTAAAATAGGTACTAAGAACATTTTTTCAAGCCATTCTGTTTCCCTCAATATTTACTGAAACATTCTGCACCTATTCACAACATGTTTCATGTTGTGAATTCACTAATATCTTCCATCTTCAATGAATCTTTTTGTTTAGCAGGAACCTGCTGGTTCGCTATACATAGTTTAAAAATCTGCCTAGCCAAAAATGTTTTTCTTAAATGTTCCGAACACGCTGTCACGTTCTCAGGGGATTCAGTAGGTGAAAGTCCGATGAGCCAGTCCAAGGTCAGAAGTCCAGGAGATCAACACAGATGCTGAATCATCGAAACCAAAACACAAACCTTAGTCCAAAGTCAGAGTCCAAGAGCCAAGGGTCAGGGGAGCAAGGTTCAGGTAGTTCAAGATAAACAAGAGAGTGGGCGCAAGCCAGGGAATTGACTTGTTGCTTCCATGAGTTTCCAGAACTCTGTGTACAAGTTATATAGAAGCAACAATCATCTCCTTCCTGGGAACACTCCATCCTGCTAAAACTCTAGACTGGCTGATCTGATGTTTCTATGAGAAGCATGCATGCGCGCTTCAGATCTCTGTGTTGTAAGTTTCTGCCAGAGCCTATCTCTAACTCTGGCCAGTGGGGGAGGACAATCTGGTGGTGATTCATCACTGTGATAACAGAAGGGCCTCTGGTTCCACTAATTGCCCTACACTTCCCTGGGCTGCAATTAAATCCTCAGGTACCAGGTCTGCTTCAGCTGAACTCATGACACACACTAGGTTTAATTTACCACATAGGGGGGAAAAAATCGACGAAAGAAAAGTGGATCATAAACTGCTGTACCAAAGATTCTTAAGAGTGAAATGGAACAGAGGAGAGGACTGGCTCTTGATATTTTGATAGCGCACTTATACATGACGATCATTTCCTCCTGATTACTTTTACATGTCTACTTATTTCTATTGCTTAACATAGTAAAGTGCTCTAAAGTACTTTAGCACAGTAAGCTGCAGTAGAGTTAGGCCTATTTGAATCAACTGAACTTACTGTCTCACTAAATCACCAGGATTCAATAGGCCTACTCTAGTGAAATGTACTATGCTAAGCAACAGGATTTTAGCCATAGTGTCTCTAGTAATACCGTAATACAAGGGTAAGAGCTATGTCCTCTAAAACACAGAGATCACAAGCGAGATCAGAGGACCATTTCAACATGGGATTATTGTGTTGAGCGCACAGAGCTTCCTCATATGGACACCTTAGTGATGATAGGATTGCAATGTTTCTTTGCTAACACCATGAATGATTATATATTAAGTTAAACACAGTATGAAATCAGGAGTCTGAAATGGCATGACAACTACGATTTTCATTAAATTGTCTTTAGCAAACTATGGTTAAAGGACCTTTCCCACTTCTCCAGTGTCTCTAAGGCAAACTAGGCCTTTCTGATTATAGTTTCCTACAGACCACATTCAAGGGTTGCTGGGGCAGGACTTGGCAAGCTTCGCCATGGCTTCATTATACAGTTATGATAAAGAGAACAAAATATGGCCAGTGCAAGCTAGTATCAAGTGTTTTATCTGCACCAAAGCAAGGATGGCTCAGTATCATGTTTGTTTAAGTAGTCCAGTATATCAAATAAACATTTACAGGAAGAAAATGTTGCAGTTCAAATGTACCCAAACACTTCCTGAAAAGGAAAAACTTGAAACACTTGGAATATAAATCCTTTTCTGTCATAATGTTTAAAGTCAATATCAGCACTAAAAAAAGAGCTTTTTACCCATGAGTTCTAATTGGGCATTTCAAAACCTCTTGAATTCTAGTGAGGCTTCTAGATGAATCACAAAATATAACAAGGTTTTACTGCTGCAGGATAAATAAAATGCAGAAAAGCAGGTTGCCCATACTAACACATGCCACATAAAATGAGATGAAAAGTGTGTTCACAGTGAATGGGTGCTATTCTAGGCACTAATTGGGAAAATGTATACTTCAAAGATTTAAGTAATTGGGAAACCGAATTCTCTCCTTTGAGGATAAAAAGGGAAAGCAAATACTGTAGGTAAAACCAGAGAAAAACACATCTCACCTCATTGCCTGTACAGTATAACCATGGATGATGAAAATAATAATAATAATAATAATAATAATAATAATAATAATAATAATAATAATAATAATAATAATAATAATAATAATAATA